AAAAAAAATCTGCCCACCTCAATGTTACCTTCCTGAACAGAGTTGGAGAAAATAGTGATATTGTCTATGACGGTATAAATTTAGCCATAACAAAATATAATGCCCCTCATGGCTTTAGCCTTTCACAGCTTTTTGCCTTCCTCGGTCCTACTGCCACCTCACTTGTTTTCTCATCTTCATAGTGTTCTGCTCGATGTGGTGGTCCAGGGATCTTGAAAAGGGAAGTGCGGTGCTCTGTGGAACCCAGTCTGTGCAGTGAGTTGGTGAAACCTGTCAGTGAGAGGGAGTGCACAGGGCCACCCTGTGATAGGCACTGGACCGTCTCTGACTGGGGACCAGTGAGTATAGACCATTTTTTATCATTCTTCCTCACCCTTCTCCATCAGAGCATAGAAATAAGAGGATTGGTAGGTTACAGGTTTGGGAACACTCTGTTTTTTGGGGGGCAGTAGACACAAGCCTGCTTTACAAATTTCATATTTCAAAGTCAGTACAAATCAATAATTTGCCTCTTTATCAGTCTTGCATGACCAAGATACAAATGACCACATTTATTTATTTATTGGACTGTGAGATAGACTGGGCTAAGTCTATTGGTGAAGAATTAAAGAGGATTGTGAGTGTGCTCCAGATTTTCGTCTGAATTTTACAGGAGCTGTCTTAAGCTGCTGAACTCTAATAAAGCTCCTCTAAAGTTCAGATAAAAACCCAGAGAGGATTCACCACTTTGGCAAGCCACAAATCTCTGCTTGAACCTGCTGGGGCTGTTTACCTGTCTTCAGAGAAGCCCAGTAGGATTCTCTAGCCTTTCCCACAGTATCCATTCAGTTCATGTGGTGCACTAGTCAGGCCTGTTGACATCACTGTTGCCTTGTAAGAGTATGCTCTGAAAGACATCTGCTGCACTCCCTTTGATTATGCATTTTGTTCGGGAGACTGGGAAAGGCAGGAAATTATATTTTAGAGAAGCTGTCCACTATTACTGATCTTTTCAGTATGAGACTTGTCTTGGTTTCTAATCCTTGGCAATATTTGCAAAAAATATTTTATAGTCATAAGGTTAGGATCTTTTGAAGTAAGCCCAAGATTTTTAAGAAGCCAAATTGCTCAAGCAGGTGGCTGCATAGAATACAAATGCACTTACAATGTATTAGAGGTCTTTAAAATGTGCCAAATGCCAGACAACACTTCCTCTAAATTAAGGGCTGCTGGCAAGCCACTGTTGACTTGAAATATCTCTTTATTTCCCCAAGTGCTCAGGTCTGTGCGGTGAGGGGCGGATAAGCCGCTTTGTCACATGCCGCAATTTGGAGGGAAAAGTGATCTCAGATTCCCAGTGCAATCCCAACACCAAGCCTCTGGCCATCTATCCCTGTGGAGAAAAGAACTGCCCTGCCCACTGGGTTGAGCAAGAATGGGACCAGGTAAGTCTGCACTTATTGTGCAGTCCTTATTGTTGGAGGCAAGTGTTGAACTTTTTAAAAAGCCTCTTACTGATGAGTAAGAGGAGGGGTTAGTTAACTTTGTTCTGTTCTGTTTGGGTCTTTTTCTCCTCTTTATTTTTTCATAATGTGTAAGTCACATCTTTCCTTTTCTTGTCAGGTGTCGAAGCAGGGATCCATTCAGATAGTGCGTAGTCCTGTGCTAAAACAGCAGCATGGAAACAGAGGGACTGACTAGGCTGATTTTGGCCTGATGGAAAACCATAACTACAGATGCCCAAAATCTGGGGAGTCAATTGATACACAAGTGATCAGTAAAACCTCTTTTGGTTTTGTAAAGCTACTGATGCTATCCTTTCTCCCCATTCCAAATTGCTCATAGAGTCCTTGTCTCCGTAGAGCTTTCTGGCTGTCCCTTGGCTGAAAGTGTACAATCTTTACAGCCCCGAGAGCAATATGTGATGCCCAGTTTGCGATATTCCTGTAATCTGGGAAAGAGTAATATAAATGAAACTGGTGGGCAATCAGAAGGGGGGATTCATTGGTGCTAAAGGGGGATCCAAGCATCCTTGCCCTAGGCCATCAGCCTTGGTGCATTCTCACTGAAAGTGACAAGAAACAAAGAGAAAGTATAGCAAAGAACTGTGAGAAAGGCAGTGGCTTTCTTCCTGCCACCCACCTTCTGAAGTAATCTGTTTATTTTTTGTTTGCTGCTCATATCCTTGCATTACACTTAACCACATAAAGTAGATCTTGAGCTTATTACAGGTATCATCTGGACTTTTAGATTAAAAAGAAATCTGCACATTTCTCCATTGCAGTGCAATGCCACATGTGGCCGAGGAGTCAAGATGAGGACCGTTTTGTGTGTGGGGCTAGAAAATGGGCTGTACAAGGAGTATCCTGAAAAGCGCTGTGATGCTTTCCCAAAGCCAGAAGTACATGCATCCTGTTTCAAGAGACCCTGTTCAACATGGTTCTCAACCTCTTGGTCCCAGGTAGAGAGAAAGGGGCAGGGGAGGGGGGGCAGTGGTAACAGAACAGCTGGCCCATATTTCCTTGGCTTGCAAGGATTCAAATTCAAGTCTCCCAGTTTCAAGTCTAATGCTCCAGTCCCACAAGAGGCTTCTAGAAGTGTGTCCCTAAGCATGGGATATGCCACATATGAACATATGTTGTGTGCAGCACCCCAGATGCTATCCAGCTGCTGCTGCTGCTGCAGCTGTGCATTTCTATCACTGGCAATAGCACTCATAAGCTGTTCAAACCAGGTACACAACTCCCTCCCCCAAATAGATTATTTGTGCTTTTTCATTGACTGTGGCTACCAGCAAGTAGCCTTGATTTCTGTGCACACCTGGATTAAAATCAGACCTCAAATACAAGTTTACTGTTTGCTGAAAAATGTACTATTGCTACAAGCTTTTGTCAGCTTAACTGACCTATCAATAATTCAGCCTATTTGAAAGCGATATATTTCTGAGGGAAGAGCATTCCATCACTGTGGGACAGCTGGTGGGTATCTCTTTTGGTGTGCTGCCTCTTAAAGTAGCAATCTATGTCTTTACCCCTTGCCAAAAGGAGACATTTGCTGGTCTTTTTCTCCTGGACCCCCCAAATCCTTCTGCAGTGCAGTAAAACCTGTGGCACCGGCCTGCGTTTCCGTGAGGTGAAATGCTACCAAGGAGAAACCTTAGGACAAGGCTGTGAGTCAGCTTCCAAGCCTGAAGCCAAGCAGACATGCCAGCTGCAGTTGTGTCCCACAGACACCCCAGGTAAAGAGAGACATGCCCCAGGACAGTCTTATGGACTCTGGCTCAAAGAGGAAGAATGTATCACAGTTACTTTGTTTGATAAGACAGGGATTGGATGATGGGGAAGATTTATCAAAGTGTCGGGGGAGGGCAGTCAGAAGATTCTGAGGGTATCGTAAGCAGAGACAGGCAGAGGAGGCAGCCAAGAAATGTGGAGCTTGGGATTTGGGGGCTGGATGAAAGGCCAGTTCAGAGTAAAAAGTGGCCAAGAAAGCCAGAGGGAGGAAACCGAGGGAGATAATTGGCAGCATTATCATCCAAGAGATGTAGAGATGAAGAAGGCTGGAGTCTCCATGTTATCCTGAAATGAGTTAAATCAAGAACAACATCTGATGCTCTTATGAGATAATGAGGTAAGATTATGTATGGAGGCAAAAAGCTCAAAAGAGGGCCCTGTCACTTCCCACTTAACACCTATTGTCATGTTTTCCCTCTCTAGATGAAGACTGTGAAGACAAAGCAACAGTTAATTGTGTGCTGGTCCTAAAAGTGAAGCTTTGTTCACACTGGTACTACAGAAAGGCTTGCTGTAGATCTTGTAGGAGTAAGTCACCCTAATTTCCTGTCTGAGCATTTAATTTCTCTGCCTGGATGAAGGAGAAAAGCATCCTTAAGAGGCACACTTGACTGAATTTTGCATTCTAGATCAGAAGCCACGATGCATGGCTCTCACAGAACCCTAGAGAACCCTTTAGAATTTTCCGTATAGCAGTTGAAAGTAATGTAACTGCCAGACTTCAAGATGCTACCCACAGGCATTTGTCATGCCAAGTGAAATATTAAAATCCATGGTTTCCTGGAACTCCTGGGTTTGATGGCCTGTTGCTGCTCCTTGGACTATCAAGACATCAGTCACCCACCACATTCCCTTAGCCAACTGTCTCTCTCCTACTGATGTTTGTATCCTATTCCTCCATATATGTCCAGGCTTTAGCATTTATGTTGTACTTCAGAAAACACAAAGCATCTCATGTTTATTAGAGCACAAGATGCTGAATCAGATCATAACTTAATCTCCTTCAGGGTTTTCACAGTGGGCAACCAGACACTTGCAGGAAACCTACAAGTAGAGTGTGAAGATGTTACCCAATTCTGGCTGCTTGTCCCCCAAGCAACTGGTATACATTAGTATACGTATTTCCCCTGGACATGAAGGTTCTGTGTAGCTGTCTTAGTCAATACTTGCTGACAGATGTATTATATAAAGCCATGAATTGTGTAATCCTCTTTAAAAGATACCTGAAGTAGTGACCAGTGCCGCATTTACAACTTTGTAAGGTAGGTGTGACGTGCCACTTGTGTGTCCCCAGATTATTTCACTAAGGCCCACGCCACGTTCTCTTTTATGCTGCCACCAGTTGATCTCTGTCAGCAATATTTACTTAGAAAGATTGAGGTCCATACTGCATGTAAACTTTAACAAAACAGGTTTATTGGATACAGTTCACATAAATAGGTTCCTAAAAGACTTTAAAATGTTCGGTAGATTCGTACTAACTCATTCCACATTCAACTCTCTCTAAGTTCCACACTCTCAACTGTCTCCCTTAACTCCTGTCTCTCTGACTTCTCACTTCAGACTCACTATCTAACTGACTAACTGCTCTTATCTGCCTCACCCCTCCCTTTTAGTTTCTCTGGCTCCACCTCCCAACAACTCCCATTGATGTATGCAAATAACCTCATACATGAGCAAAGGTAGGGTGATCGCTACAGTAGGTTATCATTGCTACTATATTGGAGAGGGGTGGCAAGAATGAGAGGATTAGTGCATTGCTTCAGCACACCGAGTTTTTACATGCCCCATAGTCTCTATTAGAGATGGGCTGTTCCTAGTCATGTCCCTGGGAATATGAATAGTGGCACCACAGGTGCCACAGAGGTCCGTTTCCTCCCCCAGAACAGACCAGTCCACTCACTGATCACTGTGCAGTGTGCGCATCTGTCATCATCAACATCATGCTGATCACAGAAATAGCCCAGCTAGCTCTTACCCACCTCCCCACACAGCCAACCACTCAACAGCTGAGTGAGGAGGCTCTTCATCATGCTTCCTCACCAGAGTGGTTGGCTGTGTGGGGAGGTGGGGAAGCGCCAGCCAGGTGATTTCCATGACTGGCACAATGTTCTCACTGATGGACACGCACAACAACAGTGAATGAACTGGCTGGTTCTGGGAGCAGGGAATGGACCTCTGTGGCACCGCTATTCATATTAGTATCCCCAGGGATACAAATACGAATAGTCCATCTCTAGTCTCCATGCACATGGCTATCCATTTGGCAAGATAAAATAAAAAAGAGAGGAAGAGGGACAAAGATGTATGATTTGAAAGGTCCATCCCAAATTGTCAGTATTTAACAGCCTTCCAAGATCCCTTTTTAAAAAAACTGTATCTTTGGAATAAAGAGAAAGAAGTTTCCCGGTATGAAGACATCTGTGGGTAACAGAAGGCTCCAGAATTGTCAACAGGATTAGGATACAAATGACAAAGAGCTGTGGGACTGTGGTTGACATTGGAATATTAGGGGAGGAGTGTTTTTCAATATTCCTTTTCAATATCTCGGTAGAATTTCGACCTGGAGTGATTACAACATTCTTCTACCACCACATGGGGGACACAAGACAAGTGCAGAGGGACACTTTTGAAATGGCTTTTTAAAGGAAGAAATTCAAAAAGGGATAGGGAGAAGGAGGAGGCACCAAGCAAATTCACTCCTTAGCTGAGCCGAGGGTAATAATATTTCTCATAAAAGTCTTCCTGTCATTCATTAAAGTCAGTGCTGCACAGTTTCATAAAAAATAAGTCATAATCCACCCCAGATACTGTGTGCCTCTGCTCTCCTGTAAAACCATATATCTCCATCAATTTAACTAATAAAAAAGGAGAAACCATTTTCCCATTATAGCAAGCTTTTGCGGGAATTTATGGGAGTGGAGGAAACCCAATCGAGGCATAGTGGCTAATCAGGGAAACCCCAAATTGTGGTAAGTCTTATTTCCAGTGTCGTTCTACAGGTTCCTATCTGTACTAGCTCTTTAAATGTAACTATAACAAGATTTCATCCCACTCATAGTTGTACTGTAGTACATATGTCCAGTATCTGTTACTATTCAGAGTTAGATTTAATATAACTGCTGTAAATATGTTTTGATACTTTTCTATGGTTGCCTGAATAAGGAAGGAAGGTTTCTATTTTCAGTTCCCATGTTTGCTTAAGTTCAGCTAGTAATGGAAGCTAAATGCAATTGCAGTTCACATTGCCTACCTATGTTTTTTAAAAGGAATTATTTTTTATTTGTGTGCAACATTATGAGCGTGCAAATGTACAAGATTTAGAGATAACTAATAAAAACATGTTCTCTTATGCTCTCCAGTTGTGTGAACTGACTTAAACTGACAGAAATTTACAATTTTTTGAAAACAATTAGGTAATCTAGTTTTAAAACAGGCAGCCACAATAAGACCTAGTCTGTAATTCATCCATTGCTCTTTTCTTCACTTTTCATGGGAGGAGACTCAACACTATATTAAATAGATCTGCAATATAGACATGTCATATATATCCATGTCAAAAGAACATGTTGATGATGCCTAAACATATTGGCAGTCATCCCAAAACATAGAATTGGGTTCCCCTAGTTTTTGCCTTTATTTGATAGAATTAGAGCAGGTGGGAGTTGGAGTAGAGTAAGCCAAAACTATTATTCTTCCTTGAAAGAAAGACATTCCCCTTGTACAAATATCATGCCTGGCCAAGTATTCTTTTCTGAAATGAGTTTGATACCTGAAATGAGTTTTGATACCCGAGTACACACAGTCCCACGTAGGGTAGGAGCCATCAAATGTGAGGCCAAAAAGGGTCAGGTTTCTAGATTGGAGGGGGAACTGTCTATCCCAAAGAGCTAGAACCCCAAAGTGCAGTCACGGTCAACCAAAGTTTAAAACTAGTAACAAGTGATCAGAGGGGGTGGAGCTAAGACAGGCAATGCATGCCCAAGGTATTGAGGCTGCAGCTACACTGGCAAACCAAATCACTCCAATTGAACTTTGCTGTGATTTGATTAGCAGCTGTATGGCAGACTTCAGTGCCAGTGCTCAGTCAGGGACTGTGGGTTGATTCAGGAGTTCAGTGTTTGCATGCAATGTGATGCAATCTGCATTTCAGTCCATAGTCCCCATTTGTTTCCTTCCTCTGGTCCTGCCTCTGCCACTGCTTTTATGGTTTGCTAATAAGCTGCATATTTTTGAAAGCATTGTACAGTGTTCTGGAAAAGATGGCAGTGTTCCAAAGTTCTTAATGTTTATAGAAACAGATACCACAGGGAAGTCTTTTATTTCATCTGAGGTGTTTCTGTTTTGTTCCTAATTTTTTAGAAAAAACTTTTCTTGTCAAGATACGATTTAGTGCTAAACTAGTATATCAATACAGTGATAAGGTGATCTACTTCTAATCTCATATATTTAATTTTTTTAAAGGAGTACAATCAGAGAGAAAGACTGTTGGGGTGGGTGCTCCTGCCATTCTTAACATCATGTCCCAACTGCCTATGTCACCAACACACCACCCACAGGCATGCCCTCATCTTTTCAAGAATGAATCAATTGGTGACATGGGTAAAAGTCCATTTGAATCATTCTAACATGAAAAAAGAAGCCCCCAGTAGCAGAGAAAAAGAAACCAAAAAGGGTTGGACAAATTTGGATTAGTCCTTGCTTTGCTTTGGTCAGAAAAAAAAACACTTTGAATTGACCTGTATTATAACTGCAGAAAATCCTGTGATATTTGATTGTGTAGTCACACCCTAAGAGTCAGATTGGGCACAAGATGCTTAACTGTTAGACAAATTGCTCAGGTATGAGAAGATATTGCAGGACTTGGGATTTTGGAGCACCTGGTGGACTGTTTTGACTTTCAGGATCAACTACTTGGGCAGATGACAAAGGTTTTATTGTATCCTGGGTGGTGTCCTGAAAAACATAGCTGGGTTTGCAGAAATGCAATCCTGGTAGCACAGGAGGTAAATTGACACAGCCTGTCCCCCCAGGCCCAGATGCATTAAAGTTGTTCTGTGTCAGTTCATAGAATTTTAGCTCACGAGCTGGACGGCCTGATAAATGTAATGAAGTTATCAAATCTCTACTTTAATTATTTCAAAGTTAGTATTTATTTTTCTTTTTAACTTCAAACCTATTTCCTTTGCTAAGCAACAAAGAAATAATGTAAAAAACAAACAACTGATAAGTTGTCCAAATAGATTAGGACCTTCCCTTTCCATTTCTGCCTTGATAGTGTTTTTCCCACCTCTTCCATTCCACTACAGAATCAATACAGTGCATGTCTGTTGCTTGTTTCATTCACTAAAAGATGGTGGGACAGAAAATGGAATAGCAAAATGAGCCAGCAGCAAAAATGTCTCAACAGTGGCTTCAAAGTCTGGGTATGCCCATGTTTTAACCTGTGCATTTCCAGCATCTCCATTGTTAGTATATCTAAAAGAGACCTGCGGAAGACTGAAGTCTGGAAATTGAACATTTCAGCATGAGTTTGGAGCTGGTAAAATCACTCCTTAAATATCTCATGTTTTTTCTTAGTGGCCTCTGTGAATACACACAATAGGGGTTCAGTCAGCACTTGCGCTGGAGTCCTCGAAATATTCTATAACTTGAAAAAGTAACATTGAATGAACGTTGCCCCTATAACGCATGCTCCACCCGCCTCAACCCTCAGTTCCATTTTACCGCCTTAGCGCTTGGAACTTCTCGGTTAGAGCTATCATATTTTTCGCTTACCCTATCTTTGGCTTTGACTACGGACTTTTTCAACTACGATTTTTGCCTACTGCCTTTGCTCCTTTTGTTTAATCATATTCTGACCACAGAATTCTTGACTACGAACTCTGATTATCCCTACACTGGTCTTCCCGCATTTGTCTCTGACTACGCAATATAACTGTCTTCCCCTACATAGACGATTGGCTGATTGTGTCTGCGTCCCGCCAAAAAGCCATTCAGGACACCAGATTTGTTCTTCAAACACTAGAAAATCTCGGTCTCAAGGTAAATTGGAAAAAATCCCACCTATTTCCCACTCAGATAGTAAACTACATAGGGGCAAGACTAGACTCCATCAGTGCTCACATCTTTCTGCCTCCCCAACGCATCAGAAAGTTACATCACGCGATTCGAAGATACCACCCATTCGCAAGAGTTTCTGCTCACCACACACAATATCTCTTGGGCCTAATGGTGTCGACCACCTCAGCTCTTCAACATGCCCGCCTGAAAATGCGATATCTACAAGCCTGGTTCCTGTCCTTATTCGACCCAATGAAAGACAGTACAAACAAACATCTTCGAGTTAC